GAAAGATGTGATCTAGGTTTTCCAGTTCTGCATGGCGTAGTGCGCAAGTTCCTTCAGTGGCTATACTCCGTCTGATTCGTTCTTCATTGGTAAGGAGACGGTTTTTCATGGCCAGTCATAAGAACGTTCTGATTCGTTGTGATCCTGGCCATTTCCAGACCCAAGACCAATTTGTGCTTTGTTCAGTTGTCCATATTCCTTGATCTTCGTGATAAGCAGTTGAGACAGAGAAGTGTAAATATACCATGTTCAGAAAGTTTTTGTTCTAGGATAATGTTTTCTTTTGGATCCGCAGGCTGGGAGGGACCTTCAATTTATCAGCTTAACAATGAGTGGATGCTTCGGTCTCGGTGCCCTCTTACTATTGGTATGTGTATATTTAAGTCTTAAAGCGTGTCCCGAGTTCAATTCTGATGTATCTAGACTTAAATGGCCCTTTCTTTTTTATATTTCAGGCTGTGAGTACTAAAGGATATGGTTTGCCTGGCTGCTGGTGCGTTCTTGTGGGGTTTCAATGGGTAAAGATTGCAATATTTACACTTTATTTTTGGTTTACAATTAGGCCGAACCCTATCTAAATATGTAGGTCTTTTCAGGCTCGTTTCTTCCTTGCTCTATGGCGTCTTCTCTCTCCCAGTGGCATGCTCAACTCCCAGGAATTGGATAAATTGAAAGCTGCTTGTTCAAATTCTTTATTCTCGTGCCTCCGAGTTTAAGGGAACTCCCATTGATCTAATCATGATCAATCGATCATTGTCATTTTTTCACCATTTTTTCCCCATTGCACGTGATGCTTGTACTGCTCGTTTTCAGCAATTAAACAAGTAATGAATAATTATCGAAGAGTGCCTTTATATCAATATATGGTTTTTATATAGTACCTCTTGTAAGAGACAATTGTGGGTTTGGAATTTGGATTTTATCCTAAATATAAAATCTCAACTTATTTTTTTACTCCTTCGGTCTTTATATAAGACCCAATTCTTGAATTGGTTTTGGTCCTAAATATAAGGCCCATTTATCATATTTATCAATTTTTTTAAGTTACCCCCATGGATACTCCCTCAACAATAATCAAGTAGAAGATAGAGAGGGGTATTAAGAAAAATGATTATGGTGTTTTAGGAAAAATGTGTCACTTTTCTTATAATTAACTAACTTACCTAACTTCCTTAATCTAATCAAATTAGTTAAATGGATCTTATATTAAGGACTGGAGGAGTAATATTTTTTCAAAATATTTTATTAATTATAAAAATTCCCACGAAGGATATCCAATAAATACATGCTGAAAAATAAAATTTCATCAGAGAATAATAAGATACAGAGCTACGGAACAAAAGTCGAGAAATGGGCGTTTCCTCCATCTGCCGGTTATTAGGGGCTTTTTTATCCAGACACAAAAACAGTAAAAATATTTACTCAGATACTACACTTGAAATCGTTCAGACAGTGAACGAGTTTAAATTTGTACAGAAGTTGTTCAAGCCAAAAACGACTTCAGTGGGACCCACATCCAAAATATGAAAGTTGTTCTTGGTCTGAACAACTTCAGTGGGACCCCTATATACATTTGTCTTACACTCCATATGGGTTCCATGCGTTTTCAGCTTTTTTATTTTTTGACCAGATTATTTCTGCCTTTTCCAGCCACACGCAAAGTGTTCCTTCCTTCCCCAAATATTCCCATCAATATAGAGTAGTCATTCAATGTCTCTCACGCGTGAATACTTTGTTTTTGCATGTGAGTGTATAGTATGAATTCTATTTATATAAGATATTCGCCATTCCCACTCATCAGAAGGCTTCTCTTCACTTCTCACATTCTTCTTTCTCTATGTGTAAGGCATTCCCGTGAAGTAGGTAAATACGTTTTATCTCAACTTCAATTCTTCATACAATTCAATTCTTCTTTCTCTATATATAAGGCATTTCGCGTGAAGAATTGAATTTTATCTGCAGGTCCTTCAGTTCTTCTTTCTCTTTCCACAATTTCACGTGAAGTTGGTGGTGTGTGTGGCCTTGCAAATATTGCATACGTTTTATCTCAACTTGAGGCTTAATTTTTCTTCTGATTAAAGTACATTCTCTTGATTATTTTTTTTTTAAATTTTGATATGTATTTTGCTAAATGATGGATAAGAATTTTATATTTAGTCATTTTTACATGTTGAGTTTGTTTTAATTAAAAAAATGTAGACATATAATTAATTGTCATATAAAATAAATTACAGTTTACTTTTTTATAATCTGATTAAATATATATCTTTTTTTTAGTAGATAGTGTTTGAGTAAATATGTAGTCAAATTAAATATGTATTTAGTTAGATAATATTTGGTTGTGAGCATGGTAATCAAACTTCTCCTATGCCAGTCAATACGTCATGAAAAATACTTGAATATTTAAAGAAAAATTGATGGAATAATATTCCCCACTCATAAAATTTTAATATACAATGATAAAATTATTTTTGTTAAAATTACGTAAAATTTATATCAAAGCATGCGTAGAAGACAGTTAAATTATTTAACTATAAAAACCTTTAAAATATTGAAAATCCAAATCAGTGGTCCAAGTTATAATTTTTATTAAATTTATAATTATTTTATTATTTGATTATGCATAGTGACTTCATGTATGAATTTCATAAATTCGAGTTTACATACCTGTCACGAGTTTACTTAAACTCGTGAGTTTGACAACCCTGGTTGTGAGCTTAGTCTAGTCTTGTATCTAGCCAATGAAAGCTAGCACTAAATGGTGTCAAAATTTTCCTAATAAAAAGAGTACTGATGGTGGGGTTAATAATAATGAAAGAAAGGAGTTTTTTTTTTTTGGAAAAATTAGAGAGGAGGACCTAGAGAAAGCAATATTTATTAAAGAGGATCTTAAAAATTATAATTATTTAGACAGACCAAATAATAAACTATAAATTTAAAAAAATCACTCAACAGTAATAGCTAATTGTTTCGTCATATTAAGTAATTATAATTTTTAAATAACTAGTGTGAAATAGTTATTAACATTTATTTTTGTTTTCAATCATAAGGATTTTTTTTGGGGTCACTTAAACGGTACCTAATATAAAATTACACAAGTACATTTATTATAAGCTTATTATTATTTAATGTAAATTTACCTTTATGTGTTAACTAAAGTATATATCTCATCAAAAGCATTTATTCGCAATATAGAAATTAGAGGTTGAAAGGAATATAATTATTCTTTAATAATATAGATAAATTAAAATTGAACATTTGAAGTATGAAGTTGGGACCAGGAGAAAAATGAAGCAGAGGCAATTTTTTTGAATAAGAAATATTTTCAAATTAATTTATTTAATCAAATATTTATCTAATTTAGTCATTAAAAATATCCAATAATGGAACATAAGTTAGAAAAAATTTAGGAATGTAGTTGTGGGAGAATTTAATGTTTTTAAATATATTTAATCCTTCTAAATACTTATAGTTTTTAAGATCCTTTTTGATAATAAAACAGAAGTAATGATTTTAGCTAATTTTTTAATAATATTTAATTATAATATTTTTTTGAATAAAATGGAATGAATAGAAAATTATTTATTTAATATATTTGAAATATGTAATTTATATTATTAATTTTATATTGATATATTAGAATTTATAATAAAATTTTAATATGTAACGTTTATTTTTAATTGAAATTATTTTTTAATTTATTCTAAATATTTTTTATGATTGATGTTCCACAGTCGTTGTTGATTAAAAGATATTACAGGTTACTATCTTACTTAAAAATGTAAATAAGTTTCTTAATAAATAGCCTAATTTTTGTAACTATAAATAAATGATTATTCTACTACTTTATTTTAAAAAATATATACATAATTGAATTAAAAAATAATGATATTATGGAGTTAATTTAGTTTTACAATTCATTTTTGTTTAATTAATAATTATACTGTATTATTTAGGAAGCAGAATGGATCATAGAAAAGAGTTTGTGTGTATATTTGCCAATGGACGAATTTTTAATGGCCCGGTCGGTGCAACATTTGAGTGTGATAGAGCGAAAGTAGTGAAAGTTGATCCAAATATTACATTGGATAGATTGAAGGAAGTTATTGGACGAAAACTACAACTTCCTCCCAATGAAATTGTGACAAATCTAGTGTACAGATATCCTACGTGCATAAATCCACCACAATACCAAGCATGCAATCTAGAAGATGATTCGGATGTACAACAAATGTGGCAAGTGAACCGTCGATTCTCAACTCAGTTAACATGTGCAGAGTTGTATGCCAATATAGGTGACTTGGAAGATGTTGGTCATATTGAATCACAACTAATGGACAAAAATGCTGGAAATACTCTTCCATCAAGTAGCAATCAGCTGAACATTATAGAAGAAGAATCCATGTTTAGCGATCAGATGGAAAATCTTCACCCATTTGAACTTCCCCAAGATGGTATCAACAATGGGCATCTTGCTCTGTTCCTCAAATGGAAGATACTATGGATGAATTTGAGGACGAAGATCAATATGATTCTTATTTAAATATTGGTGATGGGAATGATCATGATGACAATGATGAGCATGACGAGATCAACCAGGATAATGAGCTAGCATCTGCTTTCTTCTCGCATATTAATGTTGAGTCAGCTATGGCTCCTGAGTTCAGTGAATTAGAAGAAATTCCACCTTTCAGTCAAAATGAAGAGTTACATATCGGAAAGATGTTTAGCAATGTTCGTGTTTTGAGACGTGCGGTCAAGTTATACTCTGTTCGAGTTCATCACACATTCAAGGTCTATTATTCATGTAACAAGTATGAAGAATATCGATGCATTAACTATGGTGAAAGCTGCAATTGGAGAGTAAGAGCTTGTAAGAAGGAAAACAGAAACTTTGGCAAATTACAAAATATGGGGGGCCCCACACATGCTTAAGCACATCACTAACTCAAGACCATCCAAAGTTAGATGCTGATGTTATATCATCTTGTATCATAGCAATGGTAACTGATAAGCCAGATGTGAAAGTATCTCAAATTATAGAGAGGATGCAATCCATGTTTGGTTATATAGTGTCATATAAGAAGGCTTGGAATGCAAAACAATTAGCCATTGCCGTTGCTTTCGGGAATTGGGAGATCTCATATTCCTTACTCCCAAGGTGGTTGGCCGCAGTACAACACTTCATGCCTGGATCATACGTACAATTTTCAAATAAACAGTGCTCTCAAGTCAATGCGAATGGGGAACCAGTTGAAATGTTTCGCTGTGTGTTTTGGGCATTCAAGCCATGCATTGATGCCTTTCCACATTTGAAGCCCATTATACAAGTTGATGGAACATTTTTATATGGAAAGTATAGGGCACGTTACTAATGGCTATATCACAAGATGGTGACAGAAATGTTGTGCCGCTTGCATTTGCGGTAGTTGAAGGGGAGACAAGATCAGCTTGGACATGGTTCTTATACCATGTGCGTCATTGTATTGTAAAAGATAGAATAGAAATTTGTTTAATTTCAGACAGACATCGTTCAATTTTGGCTGCAGTTTCTGATCCTCAACATGGATGGCAGCCACCACATGCACATCATGTTTTTTGTCTACGTCATGTGGCCTCTAATCTTCACAAAGCACATGGAACAAATTGGCTAAAAGAGAAATTTATAAATATTGGTGAGATTTCTTGTTTTTTAATGATACAATAACTTTATAATTTTATGATTATTTTTAACAAGTTAATAATTACTTGTAGGGTATGCGTATGAACGTCATGTTGTTGACCAACAATTAGCAGAGATAGTATTGCAACATGCATCTGCTGCTAGATGGATTGGAGCCATCCCCAAAGAAAAATGGTCACGTGCATATGACGTTGAAGGTCGACGTTATGGACACATGACAACTAACCTTGCAGAGTGCATGAATGGTGTATTCAAAGGTGTTCGAAGTCTACCCATAACTGGTTTAGTTAAAGCGACCATGTATAGAGTTAACAACTATTTTGTAAAGCGTGCCCAACAAGTTCATGCGCAAATTGCAGCTGGTCAAGTGTTTTCTGAGACACTAACAAAGAAGTTAGACATAGTAACACAAGGTGCATCTGGATGTGTTGTTCGAGAGTTTGATAGAATATCAACATCATTTGAGGTTATGGAGCCATACAATATTCAACTTCGTCAATTTCGTCGTTGTTGCAAGGTTAACTTGATTGATAGAAAATGTGATTGTGGAGAATTTCAAGCAGAAAAGTTTCCATGTATGCATGCTTTGCAGCTTGCTCACAAGTAGGCATTAACCATTTGCAATATGTTGATCCTGTTTTTAGGTTAGAAACCATGCAAATGGCTTACAGTAACAACTTTCATCCAATAGGAGATGAGACTTACTGGCCGCAAATTGATTGCCCTACTCTAATACCTGATCCATCAATGATTAGAGATAAAGGCCGTCCTCGTTCAATACCCAACCCACCCAACAAATGTGGATTATGTAGACAAATTGGTCATAATCGCTCTACTTGTCCTCAAAGTGTGGCATCCAGACAATAAATTATGTATTTTGCTTATGTAAAAAGAAAATTATACATATGAAGATGAAATGTAAATGGTTTTTGTAATTTTTTATATTATGTGAATATTTATTTGTTATGTTGTGTTTAGATATTTGAAAATGGCACAATATCCAGAAGAAGTCATTAACCCTGGTCCAGAGGATAACTCACTTTGTACTTACAAACTCAACATATTTCGCAACAAGTTTGGAATGAAAATGTAAGTAATCTCTCTTAACTACTACTTATTAATTCTATGCTTTAATACTAACTTTTTTTTTAAATTTTCTCTATAGGTTTCTCGAATCCTACACACTAGACGAGTCATGCATGCTAATCGAATGATTGAGCCACCCAATCAGATACTTGAATATCTTAGATTAGCTGGATTTTATGGTGTTGCGAGGGTAGGGCAATTTGATTACGACCGGAGTTTGGTCTCAGCCCTTGTTGAGAGGTGGCGTCCTGAGACTCACACATTTCATACTACACGTGGAGAGTGCACGATAACATTAGAGGATGTTGCTATACAGTTAGGCCTTCCTTGTGTAGGAATGCCTGTCATTGGGAAAACTGACTTTAATTGGCAAGATGTTTGTGAATGGCTTCTAGGGGTTAGACCACCTGCAGATAGAATACTTGGACAACGACTACTTATGAATTGGTTGGAAGAGCACTTTAATCACTTACCTGATGATGCAGACGATGTACAAGTTCAACAATTCACTCGTGCATATATTCTCAGGTTGATTGGAGGATATCTCATGCCAGATAGATCGTGTACTAGGGTGTATTTGATGTACCTTCCACTACTTTATAATCTAGAAGAAGTTGGAAATTTTAGTTGGGGTTCAGCAGTTTTAGCTCACCTGTATAGAGAATTATGTAATGCTACTAATCCAACTGAAGATGGGATTGGAGGGTGCTTATCATTATTACATTTATGGGCATGGGATCGTTTTCCTACGCTAGCACCACAACAACCTGTATCTCCAGATCCACAGTCTAATATCTACCCTCTCTTACCTCCTTTGGGTTTCAGGTATGCCAAAATCACACAACAAATATTTCATATGTACTTATTATTGAAATTTTACAAATTTTAACACTACTTTTTTGGGTTGTTGATAATGCTAGATGGAAAAATGTAGGACAAAATCCTCGTCCAAGTGTCACATCCTTACGCCAATATAGGAGTCTTCTTGATAGAATGACCGATGATGACATAATTTGGCAGCCATATGAATCTTTTGAAGTGCGCCAATTGATTCCAGAATACTGCTTGGCAACACCTGAAATTTGGCTTGCTTCAGTTCCTCTAATATGTTTTCATATTATAGAATGGCATCACCCTGATTGTGTACTAAGGCAATTCGGTCGTCAACAACCTATTCCTTCATGCCTGTTCATTTAGGAAATTACCATACAATACAACTACGTGGCAGAATAAGCACAAATTGGACTGAAGAATACTCAAACTTCATTGAAGCATGGAATAGATGGCCACATGCTGTTGTTGATGCTCCTCTGGCACTTGGTGAACTTGATCGAACATCTGAGTACATGCAATGGTATTGGAGACATACAAGACGATGGATCCAACGTGTTAGTGGTGATACTGGCTATGTGGTAAGGTTTTTTTTAGTTTTTTCTGATCAATATCATCATTTTCTTTTATACAAAATTTTTTCAAACCTAATGTTTTATTTATTTCAGGCTGACATAGCAGAACAGTTATATAGGCTAACAATTAATTCTCGTTCAACATGCTCTGATTGCATTGATTATCGAGAAAGAGTTGCTCGAGACCAGCGTAACATCTTACTTGCAGTTAGAGAACAACGGTTTAATATGAATTCTCAACCAGCTCCACCACCAGTTGAGCTACCCCGTCCACAAATTCCTCGAGATAGACCAAGCAAACGGCGAGGCGGTTACTTGTCTACTCAGCCACCAATTGTAAATGAAAATTTAAGTGAACAAGAGCCTCAAAATTTTAGTCATTTTGATAACATACCAGTCTCATCAAGCCCTATCACCTCTTCCAATCCAACTCATTTTTACCCTCATCACATGCCATCATCATCAACATTATCCCATTCTGACTCACCCAATCCTCCTCAATTTCAGTCATTCATGTCCTTATTTGATGATCCTGCATTATTTATCGATCAATATAACACTTCTTCTTTTGAGCAAGGTGGTCCATCAAATGAAGCATTTGTCACCCCTCGACAATCAATTTCTTTAGCCGAATCACCTTGGTTTGATTTAAATACGTCAACTACGCAGACAAATGAGACATTAGATCAAACTCAAGAAGTAAATATACAACAACGGCCACAGCGTGCGCGGAGGAGACCAAGATGTGGCACGGGGAGTCATTATTTGTGAGGTAAATTAATTCTTATTTTTGTTCATGTCAATTTAATTGTTATTTGTTATTAATTTTATAACATTTAATCATTACTTATTTTCTTTAATCACTTTTTAATTAATATAATATTAATTATTACTATTATCATTATATAATTATTAACTCATTATTCTAATGATATGACCATTATTAACATCCTTGTAGGAATATTTATGTGGTGAGAGATTGTGAAGAAGTTGTTCAGATGCTGGTGAAATTTAAAAGTTGTTCACACCAAGATGAATTTCAGCTAGACGGAAGACAAGGTTTATTGGAGGAATTGCTCTTACTGAGATGAATTTTAAAAGTTGTTCAAGCCAAGATGAAGTTCAGCTGCATGGGAACCAATGTTTATTGAAGAAATTGCTCTTATTAAGATGAACTTTTAAAGTTGTTTAAGCTAAGAACAACTTTGAGTGTAGTATTTGGGGAAATAATTCCCACTATGTAGTATTTGAAGAATTTTTTTTCCCTGTTTGCAGCGTTTTGCTAAAAATTCCCTAAGTAACACAAAGCTGGGTCTGATTGCAAAACCCAAAACATGCAAAACAAAAGCCCTTTCACTCCGTTAAGTGAGGAGAAGGCTTATGATGAGTGGGAATACATTATTAGCTTTCGACTAGAAACTAAGGATCAAATAAAATGTAATCTGACGGATTTTTTTCTAAAAATTCTTGGAGGAGATTATCATATTTCTACAATTCAATTAGATGTGAAATCTAGAAATTTCCTCAATATACTATTTATTTTTAATAAATCTATAATTAATATCTAATTAATATTAATTAATTATTAATTAAAGAATTAATTAAATATAAATAATATTAAATAAAAATAATAATATTCTATTTATAATTTTAGAATTTTAGTTATAATTTTGGAATAATTAAATAAAAAGAATGCCGAATGCCTTATATAAGTAGAATTCATACTATACACTCACATGCAAAAACAAAGTACTTACGCATGAGAGACAAGGAATGACTACTCTATATTGATGGGAATATTTGGGGAAGGAAGGAACACTTTGCGTGGGGCTGGAAAAGGCAGAAATAGTCTGGTCAAAATATGAAAGCTGAAAACGCATGGAGTGTAAGACAAATATAGTGGGTCCCACTGAAGTTGTTCAGACCAAGAACAACTTCCATTTTGTGATGTGGGTCCCACTGAAGTTGTTCAGACCAAGAACAACTTTCATATTTTGGATGTGGGTCCCACTGAAGTCGTTTTTTGCCTGAACAACTTCTGTACAAATTTAAACTCGTTCACTGTCTGAACGATTTCAAGTGTAGTATCTGAGTAAATATTTTTTATCTTATAGCATCTGAGTAAATATTTTTACTGTTTGTCGTGTCTGGATAAAAAAGCCGTTATTAGGCCACAGTAACAGTAAGCAGCCAAACCAACATCTTCCTTCCCACTAGAGTTTGGACTCTTACGTCTTAACTTTTATCTGATGGTTAGCACTTCTACCTCTCGTACTAAGTGAAGGAATAAATTGATCTCGATAATTTCTTATATCCAGGATAAATATTTTGTATTTTCTCTGATCATAAATATAAGAGTTACTTAACTAATTTGAGTAGATTAAAAGAATAAATTAAGTTAGTTAGTTATTTATAATAAATAAGTGTTGTCTTTCTCAAAATATCTTTACAAATTAAGTATATTGGTCAAAACTATTATTATTAGAAGGATTACCTTAGAAAAAAAATACATAAATATAAGAAATAAAATAGATTAAAGTCTTATATTTAAAATCAAAATAAAAATTAAATAGGATCTTATATTAAGAACTAGAGTTAGTATGAGATAAAACCCTTCTTTCTGATATAAATTTTATATTTTACAGTGATAATAATTAATGATAATTTTATAAGATAATTACATTTTATATTTTATATTTTACAGCGCGTAAAATATTACAGCTTCATCGTTTGATTTCTCAATCAAAAGGGCGTCAAATTTTACCGTCAAGATCCCATAAAAAAAAAACAAAAAAAATTTTACCGTCAAGAAAAGACGCGGACCGCTTCTCGTCTTCCGTTTCCCCTCCCTCCATTTTTTCGTCACCTCGTTTGTGTTTCGCTCCTTGACTGCCAAACAGAAACAAAAATGGCATGCAAACTCCTACCTCAAACTCACTTTCTCCAAAACCCTCGCCGAAAGAATCCGTGTATATCATCACCTCCTCAGTCTTATACTACCTTGTCGACCAATCGCCGACTTCTCTATAAATTTGCACCTTCCTTTCACGCTTCTGCTTTCCCTTCAAATTTGTGTATTAAAACTTCGAGGACGCATCGCTATTGGTTCGTGCCCTCTTGCGTTAATAGGACTCAAGAACTCATTGATGATGGCCTCGAAACTTCACTTGAAAATGAAGATCAAGTGGAAGAGAATTCTCGAGGGCAAGAAGGCGAAGATGAAATGCTGGAGAAGATTGAGAAGCAGGAACTGGCCGACCAGAGTATATGGGCACAGATGGAGGGAATAGTCAAGTTTACTGGCCCGGCAACGGGACTTTGGATATGCGGACCTCTAATGAGTCTCATTGATACAGCTGTTATTGGTCAAGGAAGCTCGATTGAACTTGCTGCATTAGGTACTAAATCCTGGTGCCGCCACTTTATGATAAATTCGACATAGTTGTGTGATGTTAGTTCTAATTATATTACGGGATATAACTAATTTAGCTAATATACCGTTTGATAGCTAAATATACATTGTTCTTGCTCTTAATTTTCCATGAGCAGGCCCCGCTACAGTTGTTTGTGATTACATGAGTTACGCGTTCATGTTTCTCTCGATTGCTACTTCTAATATGGTTGCTACTGCTCTTGCTAAGCAGGTTAGTTTCTTAATTCTGAAAAAGCGGAACTATTTCTTCTCCGTTACAATTGATTAATGCCTATTTGTAAATTAAACAAAGGGTTTGGTTGTTAGGAGCAGCATGTGTGATTGTACGAACTTAACTGGGGTTCTTCTGTCATAAATTTTGGTTAATATATTTGGAAGCAAATGTTTTTAATCTAGGATGGTTGTTTATGAGGACCGAAACAGAACAGTCTCCTATTTTGGTCATGAGGGACGGTTTTGGTATTCTAATATTCTGTACATGTCACTAAAAACCTGCAATAGATTCCAGAAACAGTATTAGGAATAATAAATAAATTTACTCTAAATTTCCCCAACCTTGACTGGAGTGGCTGGTCTTGAGCAAGATATTAATAGATGGGAGAATATGGTAACAGGAGAGAATAATTTATCCATGCCACAGTTTGTGTATAAGGACAATAAGGGTTTAATGTGTACCGTTAATAATGAGTCAATCCAGTTTTTAATGCGCCTTATCTATCAGTTGGTGTATTTACAGGACCTTACTTCAATTTGCTGAGTATATTTATTTTTGTAGGATAGGGAAGAAGTACAGCATCACATATCCGTCTTGCTTTTTGTTGGCCTAGCTTGTGGCTTGGTGATGCTTTTGTTTACACGATTATTTGGGGCAGCAACACTCACTGGTACTGAATATTTTACTTGCATTTATGTCCATGGAAGGTTGAGGATTTACTTAGCTTAGTTATTTTTTGCTCTTCGTAATTCCCATGACAGTATTTTGCTTATGCAGAAAAGGTTGCAGAGCTAATGCAATGACTGACGAAATTTTTGTCTACGCCTTTTTCAGCTTTTAGTGGGTCAAAGAATTTACATGTGGTGCCTGCGGCAAACACTTATGTGCAGGTTTTTTTAATATTCTTGTATTTTTTTTTTATTCAAAGAAAAGCCGCAATTTATATTCTTCAAAATTTAACAAATTATTTAACGTTTCTCAGATAGAAGTAATTGGAGCCTTCAATTGTCATTCTCGTTTCTCATGATATTAGACCAGGGCATCATATATAGCTATTTTATAATCACTGTCTCTGAAAATAATAAAGCTATGATTTTCTGCATTGCTTAATTTGCTTCAAACTAAACAGAAATTTCTTTTGTTATTAGATTCGAGGCTTGGCATGGCCAGCCTTACTTGTTGGATGGGTTGCTCAAAGTGCTAGGTGAAATAATGCTCTCTACTTCTCATGCGTTGTCATCTGAACACTAGATTGCAGCTTCTTCACAATTTATTTATTTATTTATTTTTTAAATATGAGATACTGCAATTGTTATTCTACTCCGTTTGTGTAATTGTTTATATTAATTTGGTTGAGCCTTCAGTTTGGTGATAAAGTTTCTGTCAATATTTATGTGAAAACTCTTGGCTAAAAGTTTTTTCGTGGAAAATTCTAAGAAGGTAATGCTTCTTAGACAATTTACCCCTCAATTATTTGAAAATATGTAGCAGTATCCGTCTTAACTTGAAAATGTGTATTTTTAACTCTCTGGCTTCTTATACAATACTTTCCGTTTCTTTAAGTTCGCCCCTTTGTGCTTTTTAGCCACACATGACTTTTTCTCTCCTTGGTTTTTCCTTCCTTTTTTAAGGCTGTCTTGAAGTTTCTCGTTACCCTTAGCAATTCATGTAATAGATGAGATCTTTGCTCGAGTAGGCAAGTAAAACATCAGCTTCTCAATTGAATCCACTGTTCTGATATTATTACCCTCTCTTACAGTCTTGGCATGAAAGATTCCTGGGGACCCTTGAAGGCTTTAGCTGCTGCTAGTGTTATAAATGGCATTGGTGATATAGTTTTGTGCATCTTTTTAGGCTATGGCATCGCTGGGGCTGCTTGGGCTACGATGGCTTCACAAGTAAGCTGAACATTGTGATATATAACTGCCATATATTACACCACATGTTCCAAATTTTCTCAAACTAGTACACCTTTTCCTGTTGGCTTGTTTCTAGGTTGTTGCTGCATACATGATGGTTCAGACTCTAAATGAAAAGGGATACAATGCATTTGCCTTCTCCGTACCTTCAGCCCAGGAAATTTGGACAATACTTGGGCTTGCCGCTCCTGTGTTTGTAACAATG